CAATTTGGTCTCTTGTTCCTCTGCCCCTTCGAAATCCAGCTTGTACTTCTGAGAGTTCTCGGTCCACATACTGCTGAAGCCTACCTTGGAGGATTTTGAGCATAACCTTGCTAGCATGGGAAATGAGTGCAATTGTATAGTAGTTGGAGCATTCTTTGGCACTGCCCTTCTTTGGGCTTGGGATGTAGACTGATCTTTTCTAGTCCTCTGGACACTGCTGAGTTTTCCAAACTTGCTGGCATATCGAGTGTAGTACCTTAACAGCATCATCTTTTAAGATTTTAAATAGTTCAACTGGAATGTCATTACCTCCACTGACCTTGTTGTTAGCCATGCTTTCTAAGGCCCACTTGACTTCACTCTTCTGGTATAATTCATCTGTGTATTCTTGCCACCACTTCTTGATGTCTTCTGCTTCTGTGAGGTCCCTACCATTTTTGTCCTTTATCATGTCCATCTTTGCACAAATGTTCCTTTAACAGCTCCAATTTCTTGAACAGATCTCTGGTTTTTCCCTTTCTATTCTTTTCCTCTATTTCTTTGCACTGTTCATTTAAGAAGGCCCTCTTGTCTCTCCTTGCTATTCTTTGGAAGTCAGCATTCAATTTTCTGTAACTTTCCCTATCTCCCTTGCATTTAGTTTCCCTTCTCTTCTCTCCTATTTGTAAAGCCTTGTTGGACAGCCACTTTGCTTTCTTGCATTTCCTTTTCTTTGGGATGGTTTTCGTTGCTGCCTCCTAGACAATGTTACGAGCCTCCCTCCATAGTTCTTCAGGCACTCTGTCCACCAAATCTAGTTCCTTAAATTTGTTCTTCAGTTCCACTGTGTATTCATACTGTAATAGATTAGGTTCAGATTATACCTGACTAGCCCAGTGGTTTTTCCTACTTTCTTCAGTTTAAGCTCGGGTTTTGCTATGAGAAGCTGATGATCAGAGAGACAATCAGCTCCAGGTCTTGTTTTTGCAGACTATATACAGCTTCTCCATGTCTGGCTGCAGAGAACATAATCAATTTGATTTTGGTATTGCCCATCTGGTGATGTCCACGTGTATAGTTGCCTCTTGTGTTATTGGAAAAGTGTTTGTGATCACAGTTTGTTCTCTTGACAAAACTCTATTAGCCTTTGCCCTGCTTCGTTTTGAACTCCAAGGCCACAACCTGTTGTTCCTTTTATCTCTTGTCTCCCTACTTTCCCCTCTAATGAGAAGAACACCTTTCTTTGGTGTCAGTTCTAGAAGGTGTTGTGAGTCAATTTCAGCTTCTTCAGCATTGGTGGTTGGTGCATAAACGTGGATTACCATGATGTTGAAAGGTATGCCTAGGATTCGTATTGAAATCATTCTATCATTTTCGAGATTGTATTCCCACTTTTTTGTTGACTATGAGGGCTAATCCATTTCTTCTACAGGATTCTTGCCCATAATAGTAAATATGATAATTGTCTGAATTGAATTCACCCATTCCCGTCCATTTTAGTTCACTGGCGCCCAGGATGTTAATGTTGATTCTTGCCATCTCCTGTTTGACCACATCCAGCTTCCCAGGGTTCATAGATCTTATACTCCAGGTTCCTATGCAGTATTTTTCTTTGCAGCATCAGACTTTCCTTTCACTTCCAGGCATGTCCACAGCTAAGCGTCCTTTCCGCTTTGGCCCAACCACTTCATTAGCTCTGGAGCTACCTGTCCTTGTCCGCCGCTCTTCCTCAGTAGCATGTTGGACGCCTTCCGACCTGAGGGGCTCATCTTCCAGCATCATATATTTTAGCTTTTTGTTTCTGTCCATGGGGTTTTCTTGGAGTGGCTTGCAAGTTCCAGCTCCAGGTGGATTACGTTTAGTCAGAACTCTCCACTATGACCTGGGCATCTTGGGTGTCCCTGCATGGCAAACCCCATAGCTTCTCTGAATTACTCAAGCCCCTTCGCCACGACAGGGCAGCAATCCATGAAGGAGAAAATCTGCTCTACTCTAAGTCGTTTGGTGATGAACTCTATTAAATGTCAGTGTTATTTTGTGATATTTCATTTCTATACTATTCACTGGCATCTAATGACTTAAATACGCTGGCGTAAAATCAGCCACTCGTATTCCTCATCATGCATCAATTCAAGCAACTGGTCCAGGACAAAGATCACAACTGGCAATTCCTTAACTACTGATGATTTGCCGCTGTGATTTATATTGTTCCATTTATGCCAGAACATGTAAGCAATAGGATTCTTGCCATTACTAGCATACTTTAAAAAAAATCAATGGTGCTCCCTGATGTACTGGGCAATGAGACTGACTGACCAGTACATCTAGAGTTCAGACTTGTATGATGCAGTATGCTGTACACATGGAATACGCTGAGCTACCTTCACACTGTGGGAACCCATAAGCCCCAGGAACACAGGTATCACAACGCAGTCCCATTATTCTGGGATGACAGGTGCACTGTCCAGTCTCTTGATCACAGGTGGCATGCAAAGAGCCTTCCATGGAACAGTGACAAGCTGAAGACAATATAAAAAGACAAGCCAGGCAGTATTATTATACAACTTAAGATACCTGAGCAGGAACATAGCAAAAACTATAGTTAGTAGGCATCATCATAGAATAGCCTGCTCTTCACGACACAAGGAAAACTCACTTATAAGATGGCGCCTGGTGCAACACCAATATACATTATCTAAAAATAAGAGACGTGTGCCTTTTTCTTTTCAAGAAAAAAACATTTTATGCATACAAAACCATTCAGTTAATAATCCAATTGAAATTGGAAAAAGTAGATGATTTTCATTGGTGATCCCTGAATACTAAAAACCTAGAAATTGCACACCTAAAGCAGCCGTTTTATCTAGCTTGGTGGTGGTTTTTAATTCCATTGACTGCTTTTATTCCTGATCTTCTATATGCTATTACATGCACATCTCAATCTGTTTCAGATAAGTATTAAGTTTTTATCAGCTCCCATGGGTGCTTGCTGAAGGGGAATGCACAGGTCAGGTTAATTATATTAAACAAATAGAAAGGGAACCAACAAGGTATATGACCCAAAATCTCCTGGAGAGAGATTTAAAATGTCATTTAAAAGCAAAGAAATAAAGCACAGGCTGAAATCCCATTAGGTGGAGTCCGCCTATGCAAAACAAATGACATGATTGGCAGAGGAAGATTGCCATTGATTAAAAACTCCCATTTGTGATTTTACTTTGTTGCATGATGTATGAACAGAGTCTAGTCTGAAGTTGCAGTGAGCCTATAATCAGTAGAATGCTGTTGTCAATAATGCTATTCATGCTGCACAGGTATAGCTACACAACAGCATTTCAGCCACGAATCCATTTCTGCCCCTCTAGTTTTTCTTCTGCCATGTCACAGAAAGAACTGTTCATAATTTCTTGGCAGAACAAATCGATTCTGAATAAACCAGCAAACTAAGCATTCCATTTTTCTTTTGCATGCATTACTGGGGTGGGAAACCCACAAAACTTTCTCAACCCCACTTGGACCTTCTGTTCATTCAGAAAAAAAATAAACTGTCCAGGTAAAGCAAACTGCATCTAACAACAGCTATCCTTCTTTTAAAACAAAGCACAAGAAGTACTGTAAAACAAAAAGTAAACTTTTGTTCCATTTCGATTTGGAAATGGTGTCACTCATGATAAGTCCTAGGGAGTCAAAGAGTCTTCCATGGATTTCCAGAGTTTGAAGTCTAAAGGAGATATGTAAGGATTTTATCTTTTCAAGTTTTTCATGATTTCTATTATGCGGTCATCTGTGTAATAGATAGCCTGAACCCAATGAGCCGATATAACAATAGGTATTGTGTGCATATTCATGCTTTGCTAAGCACGCTGGCAAGCTAACAATGGTTTTAAACTAGCAACAATTTCATTCTAATGCCATTGCAACTGAAAAGGAAATGTTTGATTGTTTTATTACTCTGGACTAAATTTATTACCTTTAAAACCCTCTTACGATTACACTATTATCTCAGTACATGCATCTATTATGCCCCACATTCCCCCCTACCGCCGGATGTTCATTAATGAGGAAGAAGAAAATGGCATTGCAACTTTCTACCACCTGGCTAGTTTGATCTAACTTCCAACCTTTTCAAAAACAGCACAAAACCAGATCAAGCCAATATCACTAGAAGCTGATGCTAAGCCAGTTGGCCACAGCCCAGGCCTTCCACATGAAGCAATTTTTAGAAAGAATAAAGAGCAAGTGTTGGAAGGCATCCTTTAAGTGAGTCCAGAGACACCACATCCTGCCTATATTTTCTGAACAATGAATGACAATATCTAACCAGGAAACATTAGTGAATGCCAGTGTTTTTGAGTTGTATGCCATCTTGAAGGCAGCGAAGATGACTGATAATGTTTTTAGAACTGAACCTTAGATTCATAATGGTATAACCATCACTCCTTTGTTATACACTTAATGAATGACAACTGCATTTTGGATTGTTTTGGAAATATCATTAAACAACGGCTTGCTTAACTCACACTGCTGAACTGCTGGTACAGCTTGTTAAGACAAATGGTGAATTTTTAACATACGCTCCTGCTGAATTACATAAAACCAAAGGCCAATGCTCCTCAATAGTCAGATGCATCAAATAAATATTTACAAATCTAAAACAATAGAGTGAGAATCCTGTTTGGGATTGTGGAGTGTAACATTATGTCAGTGTAGTGCTTGGTGCAACCTCTGACTTGCCATTATACAAGCTGGTGATCACCCTATTAGAATGAAAAAGAGTTTATGCTTGTACAAGAAGGTAGCTGATACTGAGCTCTCGTCATTGCTTTTCCTATGTGACTCCTCAAGAAGCTCAAACAAGGAAGCAGATACTTACAACTCAGAATTCTGGAGGGGCCAGAACAATAAGAAGCAAATGAACTCAATGATTCTCATTTCACAAAGTAACAATGTGCAAAATTTTGAAATCCAAAACGAATGCCTTCTCTAACACTAGAAAACAAGCAGCATTTGAAAGATGTCTCACCTGTGCAGGTAGGAAATCCATAGAAACCCAAGGCACACTGGTTGCATGTACGGCCCATGTAGTTCGGGTGGCAACGGCACTGACCAACAGGACTACAGTCGTTGTCCAAAGAACCCCGGGGATCACAAGAACAAGCTGCCAGGAGAGCCACACAAAGAAGGTGTGAGAAGAAGCAGATAACAAGGTCACAAAGATTTGAGTCTAGAAAAGTGCATCTTTCATTGCAGATGAACACTGTGAAAATTACAGTCACAAACTCCTAATTGTTAGCTGAATATTTCCTCCTGGGGAAATGATTCCGCCTTCTGGAACAGATCTCTACAGCCATGTTCACATACACAGCTGGCCAGCATTCATAAACATGTGTACCTTTTAGTGCTAGACAACAGTTGGCATTAAGTCCTAGGGAAGAAAAGCTTTTAGAGAATTCAACGGGTCATACTAGCCCTTTGCATTCTTAAATGGCAAGCAATACGCTGACAGAATGCCCTCAGAAATTCTCGGCTAGCTTTCCTGGAGCTGAAGAGAAAAACACGTGCGGGAAGTGTATTACCCAGGATGGATGATCACCAGAAGGCACAGAGGAAGAAGAACTATGTTGTAACTCTAATAGGTCCAGTGGATTCATTTCTAAGTTTTTCTCCATCTCCATCTACTTTCTCAATGGCAACAATTTGACTACACATTTTATTAGTTTATTGCACTATCTGTAATAAACAGCACAAATGAGGGTGAAAGAATAATCTCATGTCTTTGGCCCAGATCTTTCCCGGAAAGAACAAAGGCAGGAAGAATCTTTGTCTTAGGCCTTGATTTGGAAAGAGACACCTTTTCCTCAGAACTATCAATCTGGATCTGTGAAATTAATGGCAGAAGTTGCTTCTTCCCTACTAGACCATTCATAAACTGGCATACCTTGGCAGTGAGGGTAGGAATGATATCCAAAGCTGCACTGGTCACAATGAAGCCCATTATATTCAGGCCTGCAGTAGCATCTCCCGGAGGCATCGCAACCTTCTGGCAATGTCCCAACGGCACTGCAGCCACAAACTACAAAGGAAAGGACATGCCAGTTTCAGAACACTGAGAAAGAAAAGATGGAATTCAGTGTGCCTGTGATGGTTGTCCGAAGAAGCGACTTGGATGAGCAGCAAAACGTTTCAACTTAATAAGAAAGAAGTCCAGCTGCCATGACTCAGCTTCCAGATACTGAGGAATATGAGACAGGAGCACTGTAGAAAAAAGATGGGGAATCCAATACTTTGCTTCTGGACACCGCAAAAGCAAAGCAAAACGTGCTGTATATATACTGCCCCACCGCACTCTCTGGGCAGTTTACAAGTTGATTATGCAGGCTACACATTGCCTCCCCAGCAAGCTGGGTACTCATTTTACTGACCTCGGAAGCACAGAAGGCTGAGTCAACCTTGAGCCGGCTACCTGGGATTGAACCCCAGGTCGCGAGCACAGTTTTGGCTGCAGTACAGCGGTTTAACCACTGCGCCATGAGGCTCTTCCACTGTCCACCCCTCTCCACATTTCCCTCTGTAATGATGATCTCCAGAAACATGAGAGAGATCAGAAAACAGGGAGTAATAAAACGCAGATGTACGAATGCCACAACCTCTCCACATTTCCCTCTGTAATGATGATCTCCAGAAATGTGAGAGAGTTCAGAAAACAGGGAGTCATAAAACACAGATGTACGAATGGTACAGCACTCATTCTCCTACATCTTGGTACAGCACTCATTCTCCTACATCTGAGAACTCACGCTGGCATAGTGGGTAATTGAAGTAGCCAGGGGCACACCGATCACACACAAAGCCTTCATTTCCCTCTGTAATGATGATCTCCAGAAATGTGAGAGAGTTCAGAAAACAGGGAGTCATAAAACACAGATGTACGAATGGTACAGCACTCATTCTCCTACATCTTGGTACAGCACTCATTCTCCTACATCTGAGAACTCACGCTGGCATAGTGGGTAATTGAAGTAGCCAGGGGCACACCGATCACACACAAAGCCTTCAAATCCAGCACGACAAAGACACTGGCCCGTCTCACTGTCACAAGTGCCTTCATAGAAACCGGGGCCTGAACATTGGCAAGCTGCAGGGAGAAGGAAAGGAGTCACATCGTTACTTCACTACATTGTGCTGTTCGTGCCCCTGTAACAGTATAAAGATCTGTCCCATGCATCATTAGACATATCTAATTCGAGATTAAGACTGCAGTTCCATACTCTCTAAAATGCTGGAAAGCCCCAGTGAACTCAGAAGAACTTGTTTCTCATTACACAAACACAGGCTTCCTCTAGGAGGTTAGCTCAATTATTTTCTTGACCAGCTAGAGCATGGTTGAGGGAAACTTTATTATGGGTTTCTCATGGATTCTTCTGTGGGCCTTAATGACACACTGAGCTGGAATCTGGCCCACAGGCAAGCAATTTCCCATCCTTGTCTCATGGGAGTGCTTCAGGATGCTTGATAAAGGGCATCTTAGCTTGGCGCACCCCGTTCAAATTACATGAACCTACATGTGGTTCATCAATGGAACTATGTAATGGTTTTCCAGCTCCACCTGCTCCTTACAAGTCACACTAACATGCCTTCATCCAGCATCAGAAATGAGATCTGTTGAACTGAAAGATGACCTATAGCAGTATTTTCAGAACCTTCTATCTGTGGGGAACCTTATTCGCATGAGTGCATCTGGCAAGGATGTGGGAGCTAGGAAGTGTACATGATTAGAGGATTTTAATGTACCTTCTACTGTGCCCAGGCCAGTCACATATAAACTAAGCATGCTCAGGAACTGACTTTCCTGCAGTTGTATGTCGCTGGTCATGACCAACAGTGGCGGATGTACCTTTTGTCCACCCATACTGTCCTCTCATTGGATAACCCACACATGAATCTTAGCACGCAGTGAGAAAGCCTCCTTTTACTGAATTTGAAAATCATAATTAAGCAACATTCATTTCTTTCTGATAGACCTGTACATATAAATGCAGTAGCCAGAATCGCTTATAGTATCACAGTATATTCAGGGCACAGGGCACAGAGCCCTGAATATACCGTGGGGAATACTGCCTATGGCTCGTACAGAGCATAAGAAAACAATTTCCAATTACAGACACAGAGAGCGACAACCACAGACATCTGAAAATTTAAGGATGACCTGAGGTACTCATTATTTATGGGGAACTCCCATCAGAGGTAATCAGGGTATTTATTTTGTCTTTACTTGTTCATATAAATGTACCAGAGTATGATAAAACAGAGACACAATCAGGGGGAAGAAGGATTTAAAAGAAAATGTATGCTGGTATCCTGTATCTCCCTCAGCACCCATTATGCCTGGAATTCCATTTAAACATGCAGACTAGGCCACTTTTCCATCCTCTTCCTATTATACCTCAAAACCCAGTTTTTCTTAACCCAACCTTATTCTCTCAGCTGCCCAGAGCGAGGGCTGTAAGTTTTGTGGTTTAGCTTCATTTACTCACGCTGGCAATTTGGCCCATAGTATCCTGGCACACACTGATCACACTGGGGTCCTTGGAAGTTGGGATGACACAAACACATCCCAGTCTGAGCATCTTTCCGGCACGCATTCCCTCTTGTCCCAGCAACATAGCAGTCACAGTCTGTAAAATTGAGAAACAGAAAAAAGAGCAAAGAGGGTTCACGTTGACAGGGCGGAGGTCAAGGAACCCAGCCGTCCAGTTAGGTACAACTGCAATTATTATAAATAGTTGACCATAAAGACAAAAGCATCACAATTTCAATATAAAGTCAAAAGCTTACTTATTATTTGCCCAGCAGGAAGGATTTGTGCTCCAGTATCATTATCAGAGAACTCTGGTACTGCTAGAATGATGGGAAAAGACAATACAAGCATTAATTTTATGGCCAGAAGAAAAGCATTAACCTGAACCTAAACAGACCCTGCTGGATTCCAGTACTTGTTTCGATTCAAAAATTAAGCCTCTAAAGTCCATCTTTATTCCAAACTCATTTTTAAAACATGAATTGAAAGATGTGGAGATGTAGATTACAAGCACACAAATACTTCAAATAATCCACAAGAAAGGGGAGAAGAGAGGCACTCAAATATGTTTCACTGCCAACACTAGGGTGGCTAAAATTAAGGCATGTGGGAACTAACATTGCTTGGCTCTCACATACCCCTGTTGACCGACTCATGCCGATGTCAGCAATACGTACGGTAGCAATGTGGGAAGTCCACATAGCCATCTGCACAAGCATCACAGTGCTCCCCTGTGTATTTTGGCTTGCAGTAACAGCGGCCAGTGAAGTCCTCGCAGGTGCCATCGGTGAAATCCGACTCACAATTGCAACCTAGAAGGAAGGAGATCATTATAAGCCTCAGGCCTCAGCCCATGTCCAAGGAAAGCAACTTTGGGAGCACAGCATACTTTTCTGGTCGAACTGCCAAGTCAACAGCTGCTTCTCATTTCATTTTTCAAAAACTCACAATCATTACAATATAAACTGATAGACTCAATTGGATCAGAATACAATACGGAAGTTTCAGATGAGAAATGGAGAAGTTATCTCAACACACATAAGAAGCATGCGGTGGCTGTTTTAATTCTTTCAGGAATAGCCATCGTGCTCACTGGACCTTCAGCTATTGAAGATTAGGTAATCTGCGTGGCTGCCCCTTGAAGAGGAAGCTGAAATGCCCCAAGTGCACAGAAAAACCATACAAAATACAAAATGCATGAGACAGCATACTCACGATAGCAAATGTATGGTGAATCTAATGGATGATCTGGAGACTTATAATATCCCGGACTGCATCTCTCGCAGTTGACGCCTGCTGTATGATGCTGCAAAACAATCAATCTATTAGCTACTCTATTAATTTGAGGGACTGTAATTTCACATGAACAAGAAATTAAAGGGAAGAAGTACATACAAGATGCAATCCTACACCTATTTCCCTGGATATAAGTACAACTGTACCCAAGGGGTCTTACCCATTGTGCTGTAATTTTATGCTGCAATTTTGAAACAGCTGTACCAAAACCTAATTTAGAAGATATTTATTTCATAAGCAGATGAATCCTGCTCTTTTTTAAAAACTTATTTCATAGTTAAAAAAATAAACTGGAGATATAAATTACTTTGTCACTCTACACTACCTGGCTTAATTTAACCAGAGAATGCAACAAAACACCTAATGGCAGTGCTCTTCTGTTCTTTAGGGTTATTTTGAACATTAACCAGGATTAACAGGAACATACCTGATGCCAAATATAGCAAGCAAGTGGCCTTCAACTGGCCCAAGTTTAGTACTGTGAACATGAGTAGCAGTGAATTGTCCAGTGTTTCGGACAGAGGGCTGTCCAGCTGTACTTGGAAATGCCACAGACTGAACCTTTGATCTTCTGCATATAAAATATGTAGATGATCCCATACTTCTGTTCTTCACAGTGAGTTAAAACCATCACAATTGAATATTAAAAATATGTATCTATATATAATGGGAACCCCAAGACAACTGTGGCTTCCTGAAGTGTATTAACACAGTGCTGGAGTCACCATGACAGGACATATTGCTTACTTGGCAATATATCCCAATGAGTTCAATGGGCTTACTTCTATGTAATTACGCACAAGATTTCAGTTGAACATTCAACATTGGGTGAATGCAGGAAGAGCATGTCGCCAGGCATGCTGAAAAGCATGATAGAAATAAAATAAATAAATAAATAAACGCCAGCTCTCATTATCCCTGATCATTTTGGCTGGTGCTGGTGGGAGCTAGGAAGACAGACAGACAGACAGACAGACTCTCATTATCCCTGATCATTTTGGCTGCTGCTGGTGGGAGCTAAATTGCAGAGGTTCAGGTTGGAGAAAGCCACCTTATGATATGATCTGGTAATGTATGATAAGAGTTCAAACACTGCTTTTTAATGGGACTTAATTTTTTCACTGCAGAATTTACACTGGCTGTGCGTGTGACAAAGCAAGAGAAAACATTTTGGTTTTGCCATACTCCTTGCCACAGTCTTACCTGACAGTCAATGCACACACCTCCTCCTTCGAACTGGCCATTAGTATTTTTGCTGGCTTTGTGGCGGTCAACCTCTGGGTCATAATAGCAATCATAGGCATGACCATTGCAATTACAAGCTGAAAATGCAAAAAGAAAAAAAGGATGAGCTAGAACTGGTGAAATGTCAGATTTATACATACTCCCTACTGCAATGGCAGAAATAATTCTTGGGTTATAATGACACTTTATCTATGGAAGATCTGTGGTATAACTGTATATTGAAAAAGTCCATATGCAGACAAATGACACAATGCTGATTAATTGCTCAAATTTTCCAGTATTGCCATCTTCCGAATAAGACTAAATATGGGGCATTTTGTTGGCCATCCGACTTAATCCAGAAACAGCAAATACAGTCGTGCCTCGCTTTACGATTGCCCCGCATTACGACAAAACTGCATAAATGGGTTTTTTCGCTTTGCGATGATCGGTTCCCAGCTGATCGGTGGTTTCAAAATGGCTGCTGGGTAAACAAAATGGCTCCCTGCTGTTTTCTGGGAATGATTCCTCGCAAGACAGGCAGCAAAAACGGCTGCCCTATGGAGGATCTTCTCTGGACGGTGAGTTTTTAGCCCATTGGAACGCACTGAAGATGTTTCAATGCATTTCAATGGGTTTTTCCCCGCTTTATGATGTTTTCGCTTAACGACGATTTTCCTGGAATGGATTATTGCCGTTAAGCGAGGCACCACTGTAATAGGAATCAGAAACCTCTAGACTGTGTGAGATACAAGTAGCACTGAGCCTAACTGCAAAAACTGAAGGAATCTCACCACTTGGCTCTCCCTATTTTAAAACTGTTGATTTAACAAATAACAATAATTAAGATATCCTTTCACTTTACCGCACAATTATTTAATAGCCCAGCACAGAATGAAAAAGTGCATCTGCTGGCTGTATCAGATATATCACTAGCTCGAAGACAGCAGGTTATGCTTAAATTCGTATCTGGAAGCTTCTCCATTTCCAGCAAAAGTTAATGAAGCTTGACAGTGTCAGATTTCTGCGCTCTCTGAACCCTAAACAGGAGCAAAACACAGATCAGCACCAGCAATCAGGTAAATCAAGTGCTTTCATTTCTGGTTTTGCTGTTCTCTGGTTTATAAATAACTGAAAAAATGGAAGCAAGGGTAGGGGAAGCAGGGGTCAAGGAATCAACCAGATCCATTTTTCTGTTATAAAACTTACGTTCACATTCGTTGGCGCTGTCAGTAGTGGCTGGTTTCCATGGTACTTGGTTGAAACCTGGGCAACAATGATCACATGACCCTCCACAGGTGTTGTGTTGACAGTCACACTGTAGTCTGGTAAGTAAAAGAGAAGCAAAATAACTTGACCCAGGAGTAGATCACCAAAATGGTCAAACACTGGATAGAAAGATAGGTAAACAACTTGAGATTCCACTGGTGAGAAACCCTTTCTAGCCATATCTTATGACTTGCCACTGCCCTAATACTTTGGATTAAGCGAGCATATCATACTGGATGAAATCCTGCTCCTTAGTTTAGTAATCTGCAATTTAAATAGGTCCACTGAATCAGGAGTAGATCACCAAAATGGTCAAACACTGGATAGAAAGATAGGTAAACAACTTGAGATTCCACTGGTGAGAAACCCTTTCTAGCCATATCTTATGACTTGCCACTGCCCTAATACTTTGGATTAAGCGAGCATATCATACTGGATGAAATCCTGCTCCTTAGTTTAGTAATCTGCAATTTAAGTAGGTCCACTGAATCAGTGAGGATTTGATGAGTCAGCCACTCCTTAAGTCCCACTGATTCAATGGGCCTACTCTAGTTGCAACTTACTATGCTAAGAAACAGGATTTCAGCCACAGTGCTTGAAAATATATGAGATAGCTCCCTATGGGAACAAGCCTACAGCTCCCATGTTGACCAGGAAGGCATCAAAATGGAGTCACCCAGGGACTGCATAAGGATTTTGTGCATTTCCAGACATATTGCCCTAGCAGGTGGGGAAATGTGTGGAAAAGTAGGGCAAAATGAGCAGACAGGAAGGCCAGCCAGGCTGGCAGACCAATCCATCCATCCAACATTTGCCCAGCTGCAAAGCCTTCTCACAACATGATGAACAACTATACATCAAAGAATCCTGCTGCAATTACAATAACTGCAGAAGAAGAGAATGACTTTATAGAAAAGTTTTAATAGGATTTACACTGAAATGGCTGGAGAGGGCTAGTAAATGAATCGTCTTCTATGGAAGCAAAACTTTCTAGACTTTTGGATGGTAGCTGTGAGGAAGCAAGCTTACAAGGTAATAAACTATGTACACATAATAAAAAGGTATGATTTGTGTAGGGTTCCCCTCCCCCCAGAGAACAGATGAAGAGTACTGGTATATGTATTTGTGAAGGCTTTCACGGCTGGGATCTAATGGTTGTTGTGGGTTTTTTAGGCTCTTTGGCCATGTTCTGAAGGTTGTTCTTCCTAACGTTTTGCCATTGCTATCCTCTGAAGATGCCGACCACAGAGACTGGCGAAACGTCAGGAAGAACAACCTTTAGAACACGGCCAAAGAGCCCGAAAATCCCACAACAACCAGTACTGGTATACTTTTACATCAAAATGTTGATAAAAGTAATGCATGTTTGTAGAACAGCTCTAGAGAATCCATTTCCCCCCACTTCTGCTTGTCATTCTGCAGTTGTCTGCTCTTAAAAAAGAAGCTATTCTAAATGTAACTCTGTTCTTCTTCACTGAACAGTGTCTGACAATACCAGGCACAACTCATCAGATTTTTCTCCCGTACAAGTCCCGCTGAAATAAATGGAAGCTGCACAAAAGAGATATATCACTGCATAAATCCCATTAATTCCACAGGAAAGCTGCAGGAGAAATTCAGTGTTGGATACAACCTATCCCTCTGATTTTCATTCGATGAGGCATGTACAGACTGCAGAACAAGTTCTGGAGATGCCAGACAAGAATCAGAATCCTGTCCTGCCCGATGCTTTTTTCAAAAAAAATGACATCATGCCAAAAACTTCCATTCCACTATTCCACCATACCCACCCAGTGCTTGTTAGGTCAGGCTGACAGATAATATTATTATGTTTCTAGGTTTTATCTGTGCAATTACTCATTTTCCTCTCCAGGCGAGCCTCACCCTCCTATGCCACACACCCACAGTGTTCTCTCATTCAAAACACAGGGCTTAAAAATAGATACATTCGCTAAAAGCCATCACAAACAGTCAAGGAGTTGTGGCGTGCAGTCTGCTTTAGATCCACACCCGTTCTCTCTGCAATGAGCACCTAGGTTTGCATGCAAAACCAGCC